GATTATACTTTCATGATCTTATACAAAATGAAAAAATTGCCTTTTTTTTTTTTTGTTGTTAATTTACAGCTAGCATGGGAAGATGTATTATGACTGTTCCCCTTCAGCATCAGGCACCTCAACATGCATTCTGCAGTGACTCTGAGATGGCAGAAGTATTTGCAGGTGCTTGATGCTAAATTCAAAACAGAAAGGGTAGGCCTTCAAATCTAAGCATGTTAATGCTGCAGTTGTCTAGAAATTCTGTCTTTGGAAAAATCACTTTCACATGACTCTTCCTCATTTCTGAAAAAAATGTTCAGACAGTTAAATCTCATATCCATCAGAAAAAGGAATCTAGGTGTTTGTTTTTACATTTCTTCACCATGAAATTTAGTGTTTCATTTGTATTAATGCTGTCCTGTATCCTCACTCTCGATACACCGGGGAGAGGAAGAAGTATCTTCCCGGTCTTTCTGTCATGTTATAGTGAGAACAGCCTGCCTCTACACTGGCTTTGCCACACAGATGGTCTAAAAAGACATGAAGAAAGAAGCAGAGCTCATAGAAAATTTCTTACAGGGTATGTGAGTTAGATATGGGCAGAGCTTCAGGAAGAACTGACTGATCCTAGTCACAGCCTAGTCACCTTCCCAGCTCCCTAATCTGGATAATAACAGACTTTTGGGAAATGGCCTACCCCATGGTCTCCTTATCCAGCTGACTGTGGTGTGAAGATGCCTTGGCTGAGACAAAATAGCTACGGGGGAAATTTCTGGTATTTTCCCTGTGAAATAACAACTTACTAAAAATAGTGTCTGCAGATTGCAGACCCAGAGAAACCAACTTAGATAATTCACTCCTTCCTCCTTTTGCATACGCTCCCTACACTTTCTCCTGAAATGAAACAGAATACAGAAATCCCATGTCAAAGGGTTGCAACAGACTCCTGTAAAACTTCTGTGTTACAGAAGGGCACAAGATTTTTCTCCAAGTTCATCATCTGGCATAAATTTGTCTCTGATTATGAAACTTTAGAGGACAAGGTACATTTGGGTTTTTTTGCCTGCTTTCTTTTGTTTTTTTCTTGGTTGGTTTTTAATTACTCTCTTCTCTAAAATTAAACTCAAATTGCATTTTTAGTATATGCCATGTACCTATAACAAATTGACAAATAAAGGGCAAATTGACTTTTCTATCTGTGTTTGCAGTTACAGAAATACTTCCCCTCTAGCCTCAAGAGGATGACCAACATAATATGATGTAATGCAATTTCAAAGTTGCATCAATGCTTTTCCACCCTCACTGGTATTATCTCATTCAAAGGAGATATTTGTTAAAAATAGCTTGGATATAAATCCAGTAATACCTCACTGACAATGAAACCTCATCTCATGGAAGGGGAGAAAAAGCTTTTCAGCAATTTAATGTGAAGCAGGTTTACACATTTACATTTTAATTGCAATATGTTAAAAGCAAAAAAAAACCCCAAACAATAAACACTCCCCCCCAATCCCCAAACATAAAAGGGTTACTTTTTCCAGGTAATAGTGATTTTTAAAATCTCCTCAAGCTATTTCTAACATTATAGTGGGTATGACTTCTATAAATGAGAGGCTGCTCTGCCTGAGTGCATATATTATAAGTGTTGTGACACACTACTGTTTGCTAAGAGATTACAAAATCAATTCTTTATGAAAACATCATTATATTTTAAAGCAAAATCCACCCAATTCTTTCTCACTTTGGTTCCCTGAGCTCCCTTTTATTCACAAGATGCAGGAACCTCCCTAAGGTAGAACATCCTCTTGGGTTGGATCCAAAGATCTCACAGCACAGCTTCAGTGTCAATAAAGCAGAGAAGCTCCTTTTTGTTACTCCTTAGCTCCCAAGATATTTTGATTGGTTGAAAGAGATGAAAGAGTAAATAACAGGGAGGCTGACCTGACTGGGTTCCCAGAAAACAGGGGGAAGAGTTAACCAAAGCTTTATCAAGAAAGAACCAGACACATTACATGCAACATGCTAATCCATGTGGTTGGATGCAAAGCAGATCTTTTCAAAAAAGTCTCTTTTCGTAGGATGAAAGGTCTGGTAGAGAGCACTATTCATGTTAATGCAGTTTATTTGGGTCTTGCCAAAGCATTTCATTTCACGGCATATGTTGGTATGATTAAAAAGCATGCATTGTATGGAATTAAAAGGATGTACTTTGGAAGAACTAAAAGCTGGCTCAGTGACAGATTGCAAAGTGGTGAGAGTAACGAGTGGAACTATTTCCAGCAGATTCCCACAAGGATCAGTTCCTGGTACAACATCGTTTAGTATGTTCATCACGTGTCCAAACAATGATGTAAAATCAGTCTCAAGCTGGTTGGGGGCTGGAGCACTTACTATGTAAGAAAAGGCTGGGTGAGCTGGACTTGTTCAGACTGGAGAAGACAAGGTTTTAGGGAAAACAAGAACAGCCTGTGAGGTTACAAAGAAAGCAGAGCCAGGGTTTTTACAGAGGTTTGAGGGAAGAGAACAAGAGACCATGAGCACAAATTGAAAGAGGGAAAGTTTCAACTGCATATAAGGAAAAAGAAATCACTATGAGATTACTCAGGCATTGAATCAGGATGGCCGGGGGGATATGAAATCTCTTTCCTTGGAGGTTTTTAAGATCTGACTGGATGAAGCCTGGAACACCCTTACTGAATTAAATTTTCACTTTGTTTTGAGCAGAAACTTGGACTAGATGACCTCCCACGGTCTCCCATTGTGAGGAATGTAATTGGGTTGATTCTGCCTGGAGAGCAATTTGGGAATCCTATTGGATAACTACTTCAACATGTGCTGTAATGTAAGGCTACAGGGAAAAGCAATGACTGGAGGTTATTTGGTCACTGCTGTTAAGCAGCCCCACACAAAACCTGCTACCTTTGCAGAGCGGAATTCCTAAAATAGAAGCAGCAGGAAGTGAACATCACTCCCTCAGGTACAGCCTGTGAAGTCTTGCACTGCTGCCCAGAGGAGCTCTCCTGCATCTCCCAAGCTGCTACTTTTGCTGTGTAAGTGGAGAGAAGGACAGCTGGGAGCTAGATCTGTTCCTGGGCATGCTATGAAGCATTTCAGAGAGAGGTTTGTATCACCAAAAACTATAGCAGAGCACTACTGGGGTGAGAGGGAATACTTAAAAGCTTTCAGGTAAAGCTATTGCAAGATTCAAAAACTGGAGGCTTTAAGTTAGACAATATGAAATTCTAAATAAAAATAAAGTTAAAACATGCCACAGCTTCTCTGGAGTGAAGTTGAATTCTCCTTTGTTGCCAGTCAAAAGTACTGTCCATACTTTACTGCAGAGCAGGTGGTCATTGTAGATGTCTGTTGGATCATGACTCAAGTGACCAGGATTTGCAGGCAGGCTCTCACTGTTCTCTACTTTAAGCACTTTTCCCTTCCTGCCTGACTTGGAGCTGTTCTGGAGTATTTATGAATGGCAGAAACCTTTTAGACAAGTCCACACTGATACAGAAAAGCCTTTTTGAAGCAGCGGAAGGAATAGTATACATTGTTGACCACACACAAATGTAGTTAGAGGTTACATGAACAGCATCAGCATAGGTGTGCTGGAGCAGTGGGACCCTGACCTATATTGCTGACTAGGAAGGCAAGCAGCCTATAGATAAACTCATTTGACCACAGACAACAACCCTCCGGGTGCGTTTTGCTGCACTTGCTTGTTAGCTGAGATCCATTAAGATGAATTATCCAGATTTGCATGTTGTAAAAATGCCATTATGATAAAGCTCACAGCCTCAGATAAATTCAAATACCTTGTTTTTAAATAGAAATCACAGTTGTATTTTTATCTATTATGTGAAGTCCCCAACTCTGATGTCATTTGAGGAGGGTTTTTTTTAAGGTATATCTTAAGTGATGCAACTATTGACTCATTGCTGGTTTGGGTTTTGACACCAGAGGACTGTGTTGGCCAGACCAGCAACCTCCTAGATTATAACTCCTTTGTTTCTTTAATAACAACTGATCTGAAAAAAATGGAACTGTAATCTAATTTTTTAATTTAATAATTTCTTACATTCTAATTTTGTACTGAGGACTAACTTTCTATTCCTAAGTGAAATAGTTTTGTGGGTATTTTTCCCTTATGGAAACAATGTGCTTCTCTTTAGCAGTTTCATACACAAAAATACACATTGATAAGAAGTCTCTAAACAAATGACATGACCTGACCACTTTAGAAAAAGTAGGCAGAAATATATATCACTACGTTGAAAAAGTTGGAACATGAGCAGAATAATTTTTATATTATAGTTGATTAATTCCCAAACTGCTTTATATCAAAAGTATCAAAGATGAATAAAAGTGTTTCCTGCCTTTTATGGAAAACCAACATCTAAAAAGAAAGAGGAGGAAACAAATGCAGTTCTCACTATATACGATCCTATACTGCTCTGTGGTATGTGGATATATGTAAAGCATGCTGGATGCTCACACACACTGCAAAATAAACAAGCCATTACACACCAACACATCACTAATCCAGGAGGAGTAAGCTATAGGTCACTATTTCTTCTGTGTACCCTGGTTATGAATTTATCTTTGGCTGCAAACATGTGGAACATAATCTGCTGGATCAATAATCTCAGGTGCAGAACCCCTCCCCAAGAACTGATTTTTTCATACCTTTACTTATTCAGCAGGAGGAAAAGGACAAGAAACAGCCAGGCAGAATGGCATCCAAAGGGCAGCATCTTCAGATGTATGGACAGAGCCAAGGGCAGAGTGCTGGAAAATGTAAGATAGACAAGTACAGCAGTGACGGCATTGAAAACAGGATGGTCGTACACTTGACAGGAGGTGGCAATATCATCTGTATCACACATGATGCTTTCACTCTACCAGTAATCTCTTAAAAAAATGAATTACAAACATTCTTTACAGTAGTCAGAGAGTTTCTGTTTTGATAGCAAGGAGCAGGGTGTGCCATAGTTTTCCCTCTGTCATGCTGAGCCTACCATCCTTTTATGTTTTCTCTGTGGAGGATTTTTGTGACAATATCCAGTTGCCTTACACCTTGCTGATCATTGCTCTGCCCTTATCCTTCAGTGGAGTGGCAAAAGTTTTTCAGATTCCCATCACACATCGCCCACTGACCATCTGCTATTACCACTGTAACGAGAAATCACTTGGTGAAAGGTGATTAAGTGGTTACAATCCAGGACAAGGTTAGAAGCTCATTATGCTACTTCCCCTCCAATATTGAGCAATAGTGATAAGCCAAGAGTCTTAGCTGATATGAATCAGTGCATTTCTGCTATTTCAATAGTGTTGCCTTGGTTTACATGACATTTAGCTTAAAAGCATTTACCATCAGGCTAATTTAGATCCCAGCCTTTGGTTCAAGTGGGTTTCTGTGTGCCACCATTTTAGAAGAGAAACTTGGGATAATCAAGGAATATTCTTTTCTATTCTGTATTATTGTTTTAGTCATCATGGACAGAATGCTTTAAAGACAAATAAGCTGTGGGGTCTTGGTAGCACTCATGATGCAAGAATTTGGTTTCTGTTTCCCCTCAGAGCACTGAGGTTTCCTGTAAAGCTACTCTCACTCTGGATTTATGTACCATTTGCAGAGGAAGCCCTATCCGCTTAAAGCTTCCAGTTAAGCCTTTGCTGAGTCAGTTTTATAGTCAGTTTTATATATCAGGCTGTTAAAAAAAAAAAAAAAGGAAAGCAAAAAGAGGGAAAAGTGAGCTTCAAATACAAGTCCAGAGGAAGTTCGTAGCTCTTTAAACAGTTTTTGTTCTTAAAGCGAGCATTTCTCTTTCCACATCAGGTCTCTGCTGTGATCTGCTTCTGCTAAACCAGAAGCACTCTGTGCAGCCATCTTTTAGGGTTGTGGATTTCAAGACAATCTCCCAAATAAGATTCACAGAACTGAACAGAGTGGGGTAAGCTGTTGCAGCACCTTTGTAAACTAGAAAAAGCCACACGGAGCTGAAAAATTGGTGTGAAAAAAAAGTCTGGCAGTGTGATTCAGGACATACCACTTGAGGGGAATGATACTGTTGCTGTACTTAGGTTTGGAAAAAAATGTCCTGAAAGGTTCTCTTGCTAGCACATACTCTATTTTAGTTCTGGGACTCATCCTCTAATGTCATATATATTCTGAGTGGTAAAGGAACCACCTGATGTCCAGCTTCATTTCAGGGAAAGGGAGGGCATAGGTATGATGGGCACTAGAAGACAAGTTTGGACGTACTCAGATTACTGGGGGATAGTTCAAAGGAGAGACACCTTGAAAGGTCAGTGTCAGGAATGCAGCATGCTAATGATGCTAATGATACAAACAACATGTGGGATAGTTATGTCTTGATTTGGTAAAGAACTTATGTACAAGTCATACTTGGAGCACCTGAGCAGCTGTATTCATTTCAGCCAGGTGACCCACATGCCTGCAGCCAACCTTACACCTCATCAGACAGGAGCTCCAAGCATTGCGCAATTACGGAACCGACTCTTCTTGGCATTTATCCACACTCTTTGAATGCATAAATTAGTGCATCTTCCTCTTACAAAACTGCCTTCTGCTGGTGGTCATTCTTCAAGTTACTCTGATTCATGGCAAAAGAAAAGCCTTCTCAAAGGATTCAATAGCTCTTTTTCCCCAAAACACTCACATCATCTGTGTATATTTGTCTGTATCCCATTTTATTGTCAAAAATGAACAAATAACTTCCGTGCCCCTATTCTCTCATATCTAAAAGAAAAATATTATCAGTACTAAGTTTTCTTTTTTTTTTTTTTTTTTTTTTTTTTTTTTTTTTTCATAATAGGACATAATTCATTATTTGGCTTATGACCATTGATGGACAAAGTTCCAGAAAAATGCAAATCTTGCTGTTTTGAGATCTTACACTGATTGTAACTTATCACATCATAGGCCCTTTTAGCACCAGAGACATCATTCTGGCTTAGTAATCCCTCAGAGAATTCCTTCCAACAAATATAGAAGACTGTCATCATGATGAGAAAAAACCTTTCCCCTAAAACTGTTTATCATCCAAGAATAAATAGCAATGAAAAAAATGGGTTTCCGAGACTTTAGAGGTAATAATCAATTTATCAGGAAGATATTGCTACAAGCATTGTACATAAGCCACTTACCCTTTCCAGTGTCTTACAGTGATCTGAATGTCAATTAAGAAAAAAAAAGAAGATGAAGTTATAATGGTGTATCAACAGGCAGCTGTCCTAGTGGGCACTGGGAACACAGAATGACTCGCATTGCTGAGCAGTGCAGTCATTGCCAAAGAATGATGAGCTCACATTTCATTCCGATTCACATACCCGGTGTGGTCAGACTCTGAGGCTCACCCCTCCTCGCCCAACTGACACCCCCCTCCCTCCCTGCCTCGACACCAGATCTGGCTCGTTAACATGTCTGGAATGAGCGTGAGCCTACCTCTCAGCTGGCAAGCACAAGGGGCATACTTGGATTCCCAGGTTGGAAGATTATCTCATTCAAGCACAGTTCTCCCAAAGATATATAAGCAAAGTGAGTGTGGTGGTCCCTGCAGAGCTGGTCTGAGCCCTTGGGAGTTTCAGCCATACAGGTTGTACAGGAGTACAACCTCCAAACACCAGCAAATATGACAATGATGATGAAAGTAGAAGAGCTGGTAGGTACAACCTTCCTTCATTTACTCACAATTACTTTTCTTTCTAGGCTGTCATTACACCAGGCAGAGAAAGACGACCTTTCTGGATCACTGATTTAGCAGGTTACCAGCACTGCTGTGCTCTAGGTGCAAACCCTTATATATTTTTTGTTATCCTGTTATATTTTCATTGTAAATTTTCTTTGGGAAGTGGGCTCACCACAGATACAGCTACGTAGCTGTTTGGATTTTGCTTCAGAGCACAGTTCACCAGGAAGAAGAGACTGACCAGATTTAGCTTGTTTATTTGCCTTTGTCCTTTATTTTAATTTTTACTTTTTTAGAAGCTAGGAATTTTATGATCACTCTAAGTAATTCCAATCTAATAAGGCACGGAGAGAAGGTATTAAGGCAGAGAAACTAAAGTATTTTATAATACTAAACAAACAGTTTAGTAATAGTATTGTTTTCTAATAATATACTAACAGTTCCTACAACCACTGCTGTTCATGATGTAGATGAGCCTTTGAAAAATAATGTCTAAACCAGACCACAAGTGATGGGGCATGCCACTGCAGTGTTTAGACTAAGAATATCTGATCTGTTCGAGAAACTGGGAAAACAGGAACGATACAGTAAAGCTCTGCTTCTATTTTCCCAGATGACTATGTTAAGATGTAACTGCCATACAGCCTAACTAGTTCATGCTGTCTTCAATTCTTTGGCATAAGTTATCTCTTTGTACATACTTCATTGGGCATCAGAAATATTTCTGAAAGCTATTGAAAGCTGTGCTGCTGCACAGCACCACAAAGCTTCTGCGCGGAAACATCCTTTTCCCATTCTCTTATAAATGGGACTTTAATACTGACAGCGATGGGTAAAAACAGCCTTGAAATTATTCAACAACCTGATTTAACTGCATGGGATGTGTTTCAATAGAGCTGGAAGGTCCCAATGAAGGAAGCCTCTCCTCCCATGCTACCCGCTCAGTTCCCATACTCAACACTCGCAGGGTGAGAGTGGCTGGTTGGGGTGGCTCTTTCCACCACAGCCTTTTAGAGCCTTCTGGTGAGTCTGACACAGGCTGGCAAGTGAACAAACAAGAAAACCCTGAACAAAAAGGATGCTCTTCCCAACCCTCTGGCTTTTGTCGATATAGCAGCACCTCAGCTGCAGCCAGGCAGGGAGTTAGACTGTGAGCTGGCCTCATGGATCTGGATCCAAGGCCTGAAGATGCCAAGGGTGGGTTGCTGTGTGAATGTGGGAAATCTGTCGTTGGGTGAGATTGGTGTAGCCATTTGCACACACAGCTAACCCTGGCACAGGTGGAATGATGTCTGCACTCAGTCTGTCCCACACAGAACAGGAACAGGGTCCACCCTAGGGAATCCATCCCAGGTGATGACCACTGCAGTCATGACACTGCTTATTATATTATATCATGTTTGCATTTACAGGTGACTGGGAAGAAAGCGGATGATAAAGAGACTGGCAGCTTCCTCCCTGAGGACTTCAAAAATGGGGAGTATGAAGCTGCTGTGAGATTAGAGAAGCAGGATGACCTAAAGACAGTCTCTGAGCACTCGCTGACTCGAGGTGATCTGGCTTACGAGAAGGGGAAAAACCTAGAAGCAGAGGTAGGCTCTTGGGTTTTCTGCTTGGATTTTTATCATCCTGTGTGCATTTCCTGCTGCAGTCCTTGAAGTTTTGCCTCTTTCTAAGTTAGAAATATGAGCTAGATAAACCCTTGGGAGATGTCCACCAAAGGAGGTTGGTCTAAAGTACACTGAACGCCATGGAGATCTGCTGATTTCTGTAGCCTATGGCTGCAGGCAGAAATGCTTTGAGGCAGAAGCCAAAACATCCCCTATAATGTCTGACTGAAACTGTAGGGGCTCCCTCCTGCCTAGTCACCTGGTGCCAGCTGTCAGTAAGGGGGGAGCAATCAGAGCCAGTTAGCCACCTTCAGCTTCCACACCTAATGACTGCTACCAAAAATAACTAACCCAAAAAAGACATAAGAGTGCATTTCTGAAGCCAGAAGTCTTATTTACCATGAAAATGTTCTTTTTATGAAAACATGGCATTACGCTTTATGCTTACTAGCACAATTGGGAAGAACAATTACAAATGAAAGTGATACTGGTCTACAGAAAAATACCATTTTCTATTCCTGGAGCATGACAATTCTCCCCATTTCCTAAGAACTGATGCTTTTTTTTCCCCCAAAAAACACCTTGAATTCTTTGGAACGAACTGGTCTAAAAATTTAAAGTGATTTGGAAATGAAAAAGTTTAACTAGCAGGGGAAACAAGACTTTTTTCTGAAAAATGAAGAGTGGGAAACTGAGTCTCAGAAATATTAGAATAAACACTACTACTTAACCTTCAACAGAGACATCATTTCTTGCTATAGAGGCTTTTTGAGTTCCTCCAAAACTGGGTCCTAAGAACTTTCTGGGTCTCCAGTTGATCCACAGTCCACTCAGCATAATTATTTTCTATAAGGTCAATGATCTACAGATCAAACCCTAAATGGAGAGAACAATAAAAAGAAAGGGTGGAAATAGCCTGAATAAGAATTCAGTTGACAAAACTGTATTCTATATGACAGGATATCATCAAGGTATTTACCCTTAATGACACCATGAATCTGCCATCTGTATTGACCCTGAGTTACCCCTTGTTTGTGAATTCCCCTTCTGAAGTCAAGGACACCTCATGGGATCTCAGTTCAGGCAACACATTTTCCCTTGATATTAGCAGTGCTCCATACTGACTTCATGCCTGGATGCTTTTTACAAGCAGGTTTGAAGAAATCTTAAACATTTATTGAACTGCCCATCAAGGACACTGAGGACATTCTTTGTAGCTTACCAAAATAAAACACTTGCTAACTGAAATGCTAAGATCGGTCTAAAACTTGTTCTTTACTTAAGGGTATGTTTTTAGTCAAAGAGAATTAAGTTCCAATAAATTAGGGGCTGCATCATGAAAGTGGTTGAAGAAAAAATGCTTGGTGGAAATCAGCTAAGACTGCAGGAGTTTCTCAGCTCTGATAAGCTGCACATGAGATGTTTTAAATTTTTGTGCCAGAAGGGACTGCAGTGCTGCTCTGACTCCTGGCCTAAACTCACGCTCTCTAGCCCACAACATATGGCTGAAGTAGAAGCTAGGAAGAGGTCCAATGGAATATGAAAAACTACAGATGACAAAGAATTTCTCACACACTTAGTAACTTATTCCAATGGTCAATTAGCCCTATCTGCAAATAATAATATTTAAAAAAGACAGCTTATTTCAAAGTTCATACAATCTTAATGGAATTCAGCCGAATAGTAACACGCTGTCCTGCCACTTTGAAAAGGAAGAGGTGGTCACACTCAGCTCAACTTGCTGGCTTCCCTGATTTGTTTCAGTTGAAGAAGAAGAAATTAGAGGCAAGGACAAAACTCGAAAACTTGGAAGATCTTGAAAAAATTATTCAGCTGAAGAAGAAGAAAAAATGCAAGAAAGTGAAAGTGCCCATTTTAAAGGAACCTGAACCAGAAGTTATTGTAAGTTACTTCAAAGTACCTTATTCTGGATAAAGCAGTAGTGGGTGTTTGTGCCACACATGTTTATGCCCTCTATATTCTTTCTATCAGACAGGACCTGTGGATATACCCACGTTCTTTAAAGCTGCCCTGGAGAATAAGTTGCCAGTAATTGAAAAATACCTGTCAGACAAAGGGGATCCAAATGTCTGTGATGAGGTACAATCTTCCTTCCTAATGCAAAGCCTGCTACAGAAGAGGGGTTATTACAGAACAGACATAACTTTTACCACAAAGTTTTGTAGCTTCCACCCTTATGAGGAGGAAAAAGGGAGGGGGGGGAGGAAATAAATGCTGGAAGTTTTGTACATCAAGTTTTCTAGTGATTAACAAGCCACTGAGACCCTTCAAAGTCATATTACCTCAAAAGAGTCTTTATATTTAAAAGAAAGTGGCTGGTGCCCAGGAAACCCTGATTTTCAGTAGTAGGTGATCTTCCAAACCTATAGATGAGGAGATAAGAAATTTGTCTGCAGAAAGACAGATATAAGTGATGCTGCCTACCCTCACATTCCATAATACATAAGCTGCATTTCCAAAATGCAGCATAGCATGTTGGATGGGGAACTCAACAGGCATCATATTAAATTTGAATGCCATACTGCAGATACTTCTCACATCCTTTAAAATGCTGGGTAGGCAGCCCTCAGCTATCAGGTTGCTATTAATATTTAGCAGATTTCAGGTTTCAAAAGTATAAGCTGTTAAAAATGAATCAGCACAGAGTATGTATTTGCCATCATCCTAGGGAGAAGGGGAGAAAAGATTTTAAACATATGCTTGTGCGATACATCATGTCTGACTTTGCACTGTTTCAATTGCCAGTACAAACGCACTGCATTGCACAGGGCATGCTCTGAAGGACATCTAGAGGTGGTGAAAAAGTTGGTGGAAGCTGGAGCCCGGCTTGAACAGAAAGACATGGTATGCATATCCACTCACACCTTTCCAAAAAC